TTACCTGTGCCGATGAAGAAAGGCTTCTTTGTCGGCGCGGCGCGTCCAGACTGCCCCGATCTGCCGACAAACAGCTGATCGGCAGATCGGGGCAGCCATTTAAATTTAAATGAAGCCGCGATTATTTTAATCGCGGCTTCATTTCCCCCTTCCGATCTGGCTAATCTACATGCCTCCGTCGAAGGAGGCATGTAGTCTAGACACACCCTAAGTGATTCAGTCCACATTCTTCCTCACATTCTGACAGTATTTGACTCTTTAGTAAAATGCTGAAGCCAAGTACCTGGAAGTGGAAGATTCCTGCATATCTGTCCTGGAAGCTCTGATCTTTGGGAACAACTCTGGCCAGAATCTCTTCATTCAGGGTGAGAGACGCAATGGCTGCCAGCAACCAGCAGTCACCTGTGAACACACCAGAAAAGTATTATCTTTTAGTTCTTGCACCATGAAGGAATTTCTTGTTTCTCTGAGCTTAAGATAAACAAGAAAGATTTCATCTCTGCTTCATTCTATGCACCTACTTTTTTAGGAGCTCAGGGACTCAACATAACTGATCAGATCAGGTGGTCAAGTTCTGCATCTGATGGAAGAGCTCACTTTGTTTCTTAGTGAGTGGGAGGGTTGCTATAGGGATGATGGTGGTGATGAATAACCAACATGCACAGCCCCCCTCAGCCAGAGCTCTCAATAGTGCACTAGACACATTTTACAAATAATTGCAAACTTTCTGCACCAGTATCGCATGATCCATCTCTGAAATTCAGTTGTCACACTGGCAAATCAGATGCTCTTTAGGGTTCAGCCGAGCACTAACATTCATTACTGGAAACAAGCCTTTTTCAACTATGTGCTCATATGATTCAGATGGGTATTGAACTAATTACAACATGCTTAAACTTTATGAAATGCTTGTAAGTTGTTGCATGTATTAATCTCACTTGCAATAGCTTTATCACATGCTATAAGGTAATATTTAAGTTTTTTCTTTATTACTGTAAAAAAAATTGCCTTGAAATTGTTGGCCTGTCAGCTCTTGCCCATCAGGAAGAACTAAATGGGCCACGGTGAGACATCACAATACAAAGAGTTTGTTAATTGTCCCTTCAAAGTCACGAAGACAGTATGTGCAAAAGGGCTTGTCCCATCAGCTTAAATTCTGGAAGAAGAAATCAAGATAGCAAACAGAGAGAGTTTTAGTCTTGTGCTGTTGGACTCTCACAGGGCTGTAGCTGTGAAAAAGAAACAGATATCCCCAGGGTCAAGCTGGGTTAGCCCTAAGAGACATTCAGTGTTCACAAATTACTACAGCTCTGTCACCTTTTGGAACCATAGGCTGTTACTCATTTGTGTATATACATTTGCCTGCTTATTCTGTAAATAACCCTCTCATTTCTTTTTCCTAGTTAATAAATCCTTAGTTTACTCTAAGGTTGACTACAAGTGTTGCCTTTGCGTGAGATCTGAGGTACCAGTTGCCCTGGTCTCTTAGGACTGGAAGCAACCTGAATCTTTTGTGATCTTTGTTGCATAGCGACCAACTAACACTAAGTCCAGCTTGCCTGAGTGAGAAGATAAATTGGAGTGCCCAGGGGAACAGTCTGTGACTCCATGGTAAAACTGTGATAGTTCTTCAGGAGTTCACATTTGTTACTGGGTTTCTGAAGTCTAATGTTAGAACATACAAACAGTTTGGTGTGTGTGCCCTGCTTTCTGACAGTCTACCCCAAGGTTGGCACCCATAGTCGTGAACCACTCCAGACAGCGTGACAACAACCATCACTGGGTCAAAAGACATTACACCAATGATTATGATGAAAGGTGCTGGATTGCCAGTCCCAGAGTGAAGACCACGATCTGTCCACAGAACAGGTAGCAGAACTGCAAATTTCTGCATATGCTACCTTGCCAATGGGCCTCAGTCCTGACCAGGAGACACATCTTCTAGGGGTGGGAGGGTAATACCCATTGCCTGACCCATTCAATTCTACACCTCTCTGCTGAGATTGCCAGTTGTAGGAGGCCTTTAAACAGCAGCCAGCTGTTCATTACACGTTTGGTGTGGCTAGACCCATCCTTGATAAAACAAACCGTGACGAATGAAAGCGGCTCCAATACATGCATTTAAAAAGAAGATGCAGTGGGGATTGGGATCACTAGTGCTCTATGTCCTTCCGCTGCAAAGATAATGCTAATTAACCTTGCTGAGTAAGCAAGATGATCCCTTGGATCCTCCATGGTTCACTCTTCTTTCAGTAAATTTGATGCATGCCCTATTCAGTAATGAAGAGCCTCCTCCCCTGTGCAAAGCCATCACTTTTGCCTCTAGGCATAACTGACAAACATAACTAAATGCTGCACAGTATTCAAGAAGAGGTAGAAATGGGCAATTTGTGATTCTTTATAATGGGCCATGGATGCCTTCTCTGCTGTTTATGGAAGAAATGCAGAATGCCAGCGTGAGTTCCATTCGTTTGAACATAGTAGGATATTAGTTCTGTATCTTTTGGAATAGTTTGTTGTGAATCCCATCGTGGGGTTCACAACGGCCTTTTGTGTTTGTGTGTATTTACTGAACACCAGTATTAGGGACCCAGCTTGCACCCAGGTTTCTTCTTTTTCATTTGTTTGTTCTGTAAAAGGCAAAATATACAACAAGCTCCACCAAGTAAATGCACTTTATGTATTTTAAAGAAAATAAGCTGTTCTGTGTTTACCTATAAATTAGGGAACAGAACAGCATGGGGAAGAAAAAAATGCGGTGGCCTTAGGCACTGCTGCAGCTCCAGATACGTTCCCCATTTACAGGACCAGTACTTGCTTTGGCAAGCAGAGGACATGTTTCCCTGCTCCCCCTAACCCTAGTTCATGAGTGACCACAGATTTGCTCTTGTGGAGACATACCCTGGGGAGGGACTAACGTGGTCACAAAATCCCCATGTTCAGCATCCTCCTAAATGACATTTATAAACCAAGGTCCTTCGAGCTCCCACTGTCTTATTTGTCACTGTGGAAATTCATGAAAGCCCTCCTGATCCATCCCAAAGTTCCAGCCTCTGAGACTTGCCACTCCGGAGTTAGGAAAGGTCTGAAGGCAGCACTGTTCCATAGTGCGGTATGCCTTTCTGCCCTCGCTGGGACAAAGCCAACATACATGCTGGCTGTATGCCACAGCCTCATTCCAACGTTGTACTTTTCCAGCAGACAGACAAACATGCGTTTGCAGATGGGAAGGAAAGGAGACTGAGTCCATACAAATAGCAAATTATCTATTTGTGTAACTATTCTAGGAAACAGTAAACAAGTTCAGTGGTGAAAGGTCACACTTATGTGCAATGACAGACCCTTTGAACAGCATTTTAATGAGGGGATTTATTTGTGGAGGGAATGATTGAAGGGCCCCTTGAAGCAAGCCCTAGGCTAATGAGCACAGAGGCCCCACTCTGTCTATACAGAAGTGCTGTTGTTCCTCTGTTTTCCTACCAAGGAATCCTCAAAGAAACAAGCACACGCGCTCCACTCGGGCTCAGATGCAGTTGGAAAAGAATTCCCAGAAAATCCTTCCACACTGAGCATCTTGTTTGTACACAAGCTCTTCTTTCTAAATCAGTGGTCTCCAACCTTTTTACACCCAAGGTCACTTTTTAAATGACAGACCAAGCCAAGATCTATCGCCCCGCCCCTTCCTTGAAGCCCTGCCCTCTCTTTTCTCCTCCTCTCCATCATTTGCTATCCCCAATCCTTATACTGCTGCTTTTTTTTCAATCCTTCTGTAGGAAGAGGTTTTTTCAACATTTGGCCTGTCTAGACTGGACCAAATGTCAGAAAAAAAACCTTCTTTTGGAAGCCCCCTTATTCCTCATGGAAAGAGGAATATAGGGGTGACCGAAAGAGCATGTTTGAAAAAAGTGGAAGAACAAACACATCCCTGGATGCAGAAGAGTGTTTCTGGGATATCTCCAGTATCCTGAAAAACTCCTGCAGTCTAGCCATATACTCAATGGGCTGAGACAGGATGTGGAGGCTCTGGGGGGGG